TGCTTAATCATTTTGAAAATATAATTTTTGCATGTTAATAATCCTTTTTAGGTTTTATTTACACTAGGATTTGTTTAAAAAAAGAACATAAATGTATTATTTATAAAAAAATTTGAGTACAAAACTAAGTAAAAGCTAAAACAATATTCTATTTCTCAACTTTCTCACATACATAAGTATTTTTAATATATTTTCTGTTTTAAAAAAATGGCCATTAAAAAAAGAAACGTTTTATCTCGATTTTTTATCTGGGATTAGCTTGTCCAATTTATGCAATTGGTATAGAGAAAAAGTCCGACTGTCAGATAGAAAAATTTGTCTTAGTTGAGATCAGAGCTGTCAGAAAAAAGTATCTTAGTTACTTTAGAGTAACTTAGTTACTTTAAAGTATCTAAGTTACTGTATCTTAGTTCCTTTATTTTTTTAACAAAAAGGATCTAGTATCTTAGATACTTTTTAAAAGGAACTGTATCTTGTTACTTAAAAAAAGTATCTTAGATACCGAAAAGTATCTTAGATACCAAAAAGTAACTTAGATACCAAAAAGTAACTTAGATACCAAAAAGTATCTAAGATACCACAAGAAAAGTTCCTTTAGTCAAGTTGTTCGAAACGGCCGCGGCCATCGAAGTTATTATAATAAGTATACCGGCGACTTCAGCGACTGGCGCCAATCGACTGGCGGCGATTTTTGTTATACCTACTTAATTTTTATTCACCTATAGGTACTTCTTTTATAATCTGTGACTTCGCCACCCGCTCTGTAGAAGGGTGTTTCCGTTCGTTGCGACTTGAATTTATAGTGGTAAGTCTGAAATAAGTTAGGTTAGGTAAGTACTTGCATTTGCTTCTTTATGATGTACTGATGTAGGATATTGGTTGTTACATTGTACCGTACATTCTATAATGTTCAATGTATGTTTTCCATTTTAAATTTTAAAAAAATCTTAAAAAAGATGAAATGAAAAGTGTGAGATAATTTTTTTATTTTTATAATTAAGTGGTGTTTAATTAACGATTTTATCTCTTTTTATTTTTAAGATATTTTAAAAGTGGTTTTAATCAACTAGATTTTATTGAAAAAAAATGTTAAAAAAGTAAGCTTAAAATTATTTGAAAAATCAGGGTGGGGTTGGAACGAAAGTAACTAAAAAAGTATCTTATTAAGTATCTTAAAAAGTAACTTAAGATAAGTATTTAAGTTCCTTTTTTTAAAGAGTAACTAGATACCCAAAGTAACTTCGGATACTTTTTCAAAAAGTAACTTATCTTGTATCTAGATACTTTTTAAAAGTATCTTTGACAGCTCTGGTTGAGATCAGATAGGATATTTTGATTTAGTTATTGGATATTTGAAAGACAAATATTATAAGTTATTTGACTTATTTAGGCTATATATACAATTTTCTGACTTGGTACATTGATAGGTTTTGGTAAATAGATGCAAAATATGCAAAAATCTGGAAATCCAATTTTTTGTTAGTTACGACCTCTCGTCTTAGGTTAGGGAGAACTTTTAACGTGCGTACTGTGTATTCAAAACATTTCTTAGACTATGTAAATTTACTATTTAAACAATACATAATTTTAATTATTTTTCTCGGTGTGTATTTTTTTAATTTCCTACTTTTTCACCATTAGGCACGATTTAGCGCCATACGGTGAAAATAAATGGAGGGAACGATCAAATCAGGTTATTGGTTTCCATTTCATTAATGGCAAAATAAAATCAATGTTTACATAAAGCAATCATCGGGAAATTGGTTTTACAAAATAAAAAAATGCGGAAAAAGGAAAAAATTCAAATATTCCATTTACAATGCTGAGCTATTTACATCGTTTATTCTTTTTCCTATTGTGTTCAAATTTATGTTTTATTTTGGAAAAGAATTTAATTTCCACAAATGGGTTTTCTAATATTTAATTTTTTCACAATTTTCAACGATTTTTCTTAATATTTTGACATTTAATATTTACTTAAAAGTTAAATGCAAAAAGGTGTTTTCTGACATGAAAATTAATGTACCTAAGCATGTTTGTTGTAAAAGGTAAGCCAAACTTAAGTAGTTAGTAACTTTTCTTGCTAAAAACTATTTTGTCATCACGCTGTTTTAGTCCACAGCACGCTTTGTTAATAAAACAAAGTTTTGTAATATGCTTGTAGCATACAGGGTGTCCCAAATACGTTACCAATCGATATATGCACAAAACTTAATGACTAGTTAGTCATTGACTAAATTGTGTCTGTAATTTTAAATCGCCTAAAGTTAGTTAAATTATATTTCCAAGATTAATTATGAAATAAAAAAAATATGAACTTACTTTTTAAACAAGTCTGCTTCGTTTATAGAATATACCTTAAATATTTCTTTTAGAAAACGTCGAAATTTTAATTTTCTTAGTGATAATTTTGATATTTTTATCATGGTAGATTTTACCTCACTCCACTCGCACAAGTGAAATCAATAAGATTATAACACAAACTGTGAATTATAAAGTTATGTTCACCAAGGAGGCCCTTTCCCCCTCTTTTTAAGGGAAATAACAAAATAACATTTTGTTACCATTGCAAAACAATATTAATATTAAAAAGTCTTTTTATAGCAATAAAATATTTTTGTTATTGTTATTAACGTAAGATTTTAACTAAGATGAATTACAACGATAGTAATTTAAAAATTAAAAATATGCCATAATAAAATGAACAAATTTTACTATAACAACTGCGTGTTACTTTATGTAAGCGCAATTCACACGCAACTATAGATTTAACAAAAACATTTTAAGTTCGACAAAGATTTAACATAAACATAAAGTATTTCTTATTGCCATGACAATATGATAACAACTATTACTTTGTTGGATGAACATTTTTTTTATAAAAGCTCAACATTGCTGCCAGAGCTGTCAAAGATACTTTTAAAAAGTATCTAGATACAAGATAAGTTACTTTTTGAAAAAGTATCCAAGGTTACTTTGGGTATCTAGTTACTCTTTAAAAAAAGGAACTTAAATACGTATCTTAAGTTACTTTTTAAGATACTTAATAAGATACTTTTTTAGTTACTTTGTATATTATGTAATAAGTTTCGTATAATCCGCTCAACAAAAATTCGTTCCAACCCCACCCTGATTTTTCAAATAATTTTAAGCTTACTTTTTTAACAATTTTTTTCAATAAAATCTAGTTGATTAAAACCATTGAAGGGTCTAATGCAAAAAGTGTCTAACTTAGGCACTTTTAAAATATCTTAAAAATAAAAAGAAATCGTTAATTAAACACCACTAAATTATAAAAATAAAAAAAATATCTCACACTTTTCATTTAATCTTTTTTAACATTTTTTTAAAATTTAAAATGGAAAACATACATTGAACATTATAGAATGTACGGTACAATGTAACAACCAATATCCTACATCAGTACATCATAAAGAAGCAAGTGCAAGTACTTACCTAACCTAACTTATTTCAGACTTACCACTATAAATTCAAGTCGCAACGAACGGAAACACCCTTCTAAAGAGCGGGTGGCGAAGTCACAGATTATAAAAGAAGTATAGGTGAATAAAAAGTAAGTAGGTATAACAAAAATCGCCGCCAGTCGATTGGCGCCAGTCGCTGAAGTCGCCAGTATAATTATTATAATAACTTCGATGGCCGCGGCCGTTTCGAACAACTTGACTAAAGGAACTTTTCTTGTGGTATCTTAGATACTTTTTGGTATCTAAGTTACTTTTTGGTATCTAAGTTACTTTTTGGTATCTAAGATACTTTTCGGTATCTAAGATACTTTTTTTAAGTTACAAGATACAGTTCCTTTTAAAAAGTATCTAAGATACTAGATACTTTTTGTTAAAAAAATAAAGGAACTAAGATACAGTAACTTAGATACTTTAAAGTAACTAAGTTACTCTAAAGTAACTAAGATACTTTTTTCTGACAGCTCTGATTGCTGCTTTATGAGAATTTTATTAACAATAAAAAAAGTTTATTCTGTAAATAAAAATAATCTCATTACTTTGACAAATCGTAGGTTTTTGTCCCAATATGACATTTAAAATTTAATAAAAAAGGTAACTTAGGTGGTATATTTTTTGATAGCCATTACAATTTTAAATTTAAGTTAAATTATATTATTTTATTAATCGCTTACAAAATTAGTTTCATTATCGTTACATGTACATTTTTCTGAGTGTGTGACATTCTTAAACATTAAAAATAGAATGATTTTTTAAATTTTAGAATAGATATTTTTTTAATTTAACAATAAAATTCCAACTTACCTTTATTATTCAGCTGTACTTTCTTTATTTACTTTCAGGATATAATAAAAAAAAAACTTATTATATGTTTTTAAAGTTTTTATTACCAAATCGGCTCACATTTCGTTTTATTATTTATAACCCTTTTAAAATGTTTCCTAATGATATTTGATCATACACCCCTACGAATATGGTAAAAAAAAAAAATTATCAGTGACTAGATAAAAACCTAAATAAAAAATGAGTAATTGCATTAAATTAAAAATGCACTTTCCTACATATAAGTATTTAAAAAATAGGAATTAAAAATAAATAATCACCCTACTTTTTCTAATTTCGATGTGGCCTTAACAGTCTTAAAATACATTAACTAACATTCGTAAAACTAAAAAAATCAACAAAAACAAAAAATTTAACAGGTAAAAATTTCGGCTTTATACATCACATAAATTTTATATTATTAGTCTAAGTTATCATTTCCTAAAAGTTTATCGCAAAATTTATGGAAAATATCGAGCAATTACACATTTATACAGGATGAATATAATTTGATTTTCCAGACACCCGGTACAAGATTAAATGGAATGGTAGATATGTTAAATTATAATTTTATATTTACTCATCATTTTTCACAAAAATTACGCAAAAATCGTAATATTAGCACCTCTCTACCAATTATGTATTTACCAAACCTTCCAGATAAAGGAGCCCAAGACAAAATTTAGTTTTTGTTGGGAGCCCATTTTCAAACCTTAGTGATTCAGTCTGTTCTTCTTAGGTGATACTCTATGGGGTTTCAGCGGATGAGCGGGGTATTTAACTGGACTGCTGTTGGCAGCAATGTCGTCTCTAAACGCCAGGAAGCCCAACTGGGCGTGCGAAGCCTCGTTCAGCGCTCTAGATCGAATGCAGGCTCTGTATTGGTCTGCTGAGAGTTTTTGGCCTCCTGGACCACCAGAACATACCTACACAGAAAAAAATATTTTAGTGTTTTCCCAGGTGAAAGTTGTAGAGTGAAAAAGTTAGTGTAAAACATCAATCAAACTATTTTCAATCCTAAAATATATTTTTCATCTAAGTGCGAAGGAATGATAGTAGTATTCCACATCAATCTAACTTTACACTTAAATAAACATTTAACACTAGACAAGCTCTGGCAGTGCACATTAGTGTAAATATTTATTTATTTATTTTTATTTATTTATTTAATACATCATCTAACAGTCCTTGGACCAATGACAAGATGGGAAAATTTAAACAAGTATTACATTATATAAATTCATATAAAATATACATAACAAAGTGTCAGTAACGATAAGCTGCACATGTTAACATAATAGTTATTCCAATTTTGGAATCTAATATTGGTCAGTTTGAATATTTTTATTATTGTAAGCGCCCCTTCTCTTTAATTTGTTACCGATTTATAACGTAAGCGCCTATATGTTCCTGACAAATAATCGTAAGCAACTCCGAGACATGGCGTTTGCGATTTAACATTGTGTCGCTTACGATAATATTGTGCTTCCGCATTGATCTATCAAGGCGTTATTCCCGCTCTAAACAGTTTATGCGTGAGTATACCTGCATCGTGGTGATTGCTACCACAATCCACAATGTGGATTGTGATTGCTACCAAGTTTTAAATAATATTTTTTTTGATGAAAAGCTTATAATTCCTTTTTATCATTGCATTATTAATAGTTATCCTAATTATAATTGTTTTTACGTAGTGTGGTTCGTTAAAAGTGTTTTTTGTAGTAATTGTATGTTGTTATAACGTCAAATAATTTAACTTAAATTTATAACGGTTAGATGATGACCAAAAAATTTCGAACGACCTGTCATTCAGTTGATTTCAAAATGTAAAACTGCCTTTAGTAACCACTAACCTTACTTTCTGAAAGTTGTCAGTTTGACGTATTTTATTGTTGATTGTGTTGCTTTAAGGTTAGATTCTCTGTCAACTTTTTGAAACTGCTTTTCATCTTGTCAAAAATGTCCCTAAAGGTTGGTTTGCACAGACATTAAGTTCGGGCTCCTTGTGTAGGCTCCATGGGTTAGATACTGGTTTGTGAATAAAATCGTTCGTTTTTTTCAAAGAAAGCTAATGTAGATTTTCATTTTCAAACATTGTTTGGCAAAATATCGTTGGTGATATAAATTAATTTTTTTGTAATTATTTTTTATTTAATAATAAAAGTAAAAAAATAAATGTCGCTAACAATGTTTTGACAAAAGTAATCATCAAATCTATATCCCACAAAGTAACGTAAATGTAACTTAAGCGACAAGACTATTTTTACATTTTCCTAAAGATGTTCTTATAAAATATCGTATGCCACAAAATTTAATGAAAATTTTAGGTTGGATTCGATCTAACTTAAATATTTGAATTCTATAGAATGTATACATTAATAAAATAATGCCTCACCAGTTTTCAGATAAATAACTTTAAAAATAAAGCTCCCACACAAAAAAAATCTCTCCTGTAAAATTTAGGTTTTGTCGCTTACGATGTTTTGTCAAATAACCATATTATGGCAAAGCAAAAACACAATAATATTATAAGGAAAGATAAATAAATTAGGTATTTATAGTAATACTCCTTATTATTTGAACATTACATGAAAAAATATCAAATCTGTCTTGCAAATAATTGTACTTTCTACACATGAAGTATAGGGGTATAGTTTAATATGTTTGTTTTAGGTGATGGCAGGTAAAATGTAAAATTATTTCTAGATGTAACACGAGGAACTGTAAAATATAGTTTACTTAAGAGATAAGGGCAGTCTATACTATTATTTAGAAGTTTAAACAAAAATACCAAGGATGCTTTGATTCTGCGTTTCTCCAAGCTTTCAAAATTAAACCTCTCGAGTAACATATTTTGGGGAAAACCGATTGGTGGGTAGAATCCATCAATTCTAAAACTAAGAATTTTGAGAAAGCGACGCTGTATGTGTTCAAGCGAATCGGAATGTGTTGAATATGAAGGATTCCATATTACACTGGCATATTATTAGAATTCTAATTTAGATTTAACAAAAGTGTTGTAAAGTAGACTTAATGAGAAAACATCATGAAAATCCAAGGAATTTCTGACAATGAATCCCAAATTTTTGTTACTCGCATTTATAATATTTTCCAAATGCAAATTAAAGTTTAATTTGCTGTCATATGTGACCCCAAGATCTTTAATGTATTCACTTCGCTTTAGTATTCGGGAGTTCAGAGTGTAGTCAAATCCAAGAGGATATTTTTTCCTATTATAGGAAACTACATTACATTTGATAAATTTGACAAACAATAGAGGTCCGAGTATTGATCCTTGAGGTACTCCTGAAGATGCAGTTATTTCGATAGACTTTGCACCATGACATTCAACATATAGTTTGCGAATGTGTTAATAAATAAGAGGAAAAAAGTAAATATACAATCAGGGGGTGTTCAGTTGACAAAAACGCAAACTTGTTTCGTTCATTGTTCTCTCAGAATTTGTGTTGGAAGCATGCACCAAGCTGTTTGGTTGTGGTTTATAATTATCAACTAAAGGTAAGTCAATTTCAAAGTATTATTACTCATCATGGTTTATAATGTCAAAAATTGCATTTTGTTTTGGTTCATAAGGTCGAAAATTGCGTGAAAATCGCTTTTTGTATATTGTACAGACAAATTTCACGTACAGTTCTTACAATAGCTCAGTTTAATGAATTTAATAAGTAAATCGGTTTTTTTATTTTTAGATGTTTTTCCTGAGAGTAAAACTTACAAAATTTAACCAAAACCTTAGCAGTGCGATACCAGCAGATGGTATTTTATGATGACAACTTTAGCACTGAATTGCAAAGAGGACCTTCAAAGTTTTATTTTGAGATTATCTCTGCAAAAATTTGGTATATAATTATATAGAAGAATTTCCCGATTATATATAAATTTAAGTCACAAAATAGGTAAGAATTGTTTACCTGTATAAAACTGCGAGATTTTAAGCTTGCTTTACAAAGAGCCATACAAATTACACCAATCTAACAGTGTCAATTGGTACTTTGTGCCAAAATATAATTTGGTGTTTTGAACGAATTTATATTTTAAGTAATTGCCAAACATTAGTTTTATATTTTGTAGCGTAAAACTTAAAATGAACTGTATTTACGTACACTTTTAAAGAGCTACCGAACACGGTTAGTGTAGTAATTTTTAGTCAAATAGTGTATGAAGTCGCACGAACTGTGTTAAATGTGTTACATTACAAGAGTTAAAATAACACTAAAATTCACACTTAATTTAAGGTGTAAATTTGAACTCTAATAAAGTGGACCTGCTCAAGCTATAACTAGTGTTCTCTAGTGAAGCCTAGTGTGAAGCTTTTTTTTACTTTGTAGAATATTTATTATTATAATAATAATAATAATATATATTTATTGTAAATACTTAACCAAGAAGTTAATATTTTTTATGAAAGTTGAGTTTTTGTGTATGTATATGTATAATAAAGTAATTTCAGAAACCCACATGTTATTTTTTACTCATATTTCCATTCATTCATTTCAAAAGAGGAAACTTTATTAAAACCTTGTCACATACATTTATCTCCATTACAATGATGCAAATTTCACGAAAACAATGGCAGTTGATACAAAGAGCTTCACTTTTGAAATTAATAAAACTTCTAGTTTATGAACTCATAAAATGATAGCGAAATATATGTGTCACGTGTCTAAGGGGATAAAACAATGGATGAAGTCTTATCAATTCAAGAGATTTTAGAATTAAAGTTAGTATTGAGTAAGGTGCCAAAGAATAAAGAATTTTAAAAACAATGGAATATTATTAAATATATTGTGCGTCCTCTTCAGATATATTTTAACAATAGCGTCTCATACAGGGCTTTCAATTAAAACTAGCAACCCTTAATAATATTTTTTTACTCCCACATTTAAAACGCTCATTATTGTACATGTTTCCATGACAAGTTAGTTTTATGTTAGTTGATAGTTGTCAAATGTCAAACTTTAAAATAAAGTGCCTTTCTTGTAAAATAATAATAAATGTAAAAATTATTTTATTGTCTCAATAGGCTAAAGAAGTATCGGGTTTTCGCAACGCGCGCGCCATCTGGTGGAGTTCGATAGCATTGTGTGATTTTAAGAATTGTCAACAACACATTTAAAGAATACCAACTGCACTTTTTTTTAAATAAATCGGTTTTTTCAAAATTTTGTTCAATTGCACAGCTAAATCGCGCACGTTATTTGTGTTTTACGTTGCAAGGGAAAAACTAAAAAACTGGTTTGGTACTCGATTTCGATTGATTATTCTTTATATCAATGATTAAAAAACTCCACGCTTAAATGCCTATATAGTTACGTTAGTGTGTGTATTTTATCTTAGAGATCATGGTGAATTATTGTGTTTTTAATTGTAAATAAAATTCAAGAACTAAATAGTTGCATTTTCATGTTTTGCCAAAGAATCCAATTCGGTAAGTACATTTGTTGGTGCAGAATTAACCAATGATATGATATATTTAAGTTTGGACATTTTTAAGAAATTATTTAAAAATAATTTTTGCACAAACATAACCTTAAAATCAACCATTTTTATATTTGAGTTCTCTAAAAAACGCCGACAACTGCATTTTAAACAACAAAATATTCCTATGAATGGCAACATAATATTATATAAATAATACATAATATAATGGTATTTTACCGTTGAGTGGAGACTTTAAAGAGTTCTTAATCAACCAATTTAATAATGCTGTTTAAATTTAGACGACTTATTTGTTTGACGATTTTTACTGAATTAAAATGTTTAAACTTTTCACGTTAATCATTACTAAAATGTGTATTTATTGTATCTAATAAATACAATTATATTTACAGGGACTGTATGAAATTTATTTCTTCATTCGGATTAACATTGTTTATTGGAAAACCGGTAAAAGCTCAACCCAGGATTTCCTCTCGAAATACACCCAACAACACAACAAATCGTTCCACGGTTTTTTTCGATATTTTTTAACATTTTCCGGCATTATTCTCAAAAACACTTGTTTGTAAGATAAGCGTTTGACAGCTGATTATTAAAAGTTATACTTTTGTTACGATAATAACTGCCGAGTGGTGGCGCTACTAGCGATACAGATGTCAGATTTTATTTATTTATTTTTAAAAATCATTTCATTATCAACTTATTAAAGTGAATAAAGTATAGTATTACACTCCAGATTATGCGCATTATTCACTCGGATTATTTAAGTCTCTTTAAGTCTCCTCCTGAATAATAGGCTGCATTATCTCTCGTATAATAATATACTATTGTACTATAATAAGCTGCAGTTGCATATAAACCTACAGCATGGCTTGCGTTGTTCTAAATTAAAATAGTTAAAAAAAAATCTTTGTTTATCCCCTTTCCGTCCCCTTCGAAGACCTAATACCAAATTTCATCAAAATTCTTTCAGTCGTTAGGTACTTTCAAAAATGGCGAATGCACCAGGATTAATATGATCTTGAGCAAAAACACTCTATTTAGCCCTTTCAGTACTAGCGGGCCATATATGTCGATTAAATTTTATATTTTTAAAATATTGGTTTTTGCTTTTACACTAAAATAAAATTACTACTTATTATAGTCTTGCACATATTCCATACATAATACATACATAACGTAAATAACATATAATTTCTATACTTGTTTACGTTATGTATGTATTAATATATATAACTATCGATAGTTTATCACCTCTACTGAGTCTACTTTATTGTTAGAAAGGTAATACATAGAGTAGTCCTTATATATTTTGTTTTACAGGTTCTGGTTGTACAAAAATCGCCCTGGGACATATAAGTCCCAAAAGTCTTCTGTTATGGACAAATTTGTCCCAATAGTCTTATACAACGTATAAAAAATATTTGTATTTATCCCAATAGTCTTATACAACGTATAAAAAATATTTGTATTTTTTATAAAATGAGTCGCCTAGCTTTATCAGACAAGGAACATGAATTTACCTTAGTAAGGACGATCCTTTCGTTTAAAGGGTCTTTATCTAAAAAAAATGCGTTACCACACCGTGATGTTTTATTTTTTTTCAATTCTAAAACAAAATTCTAAAGATTGTGTTTCCAGAAAAATGGATTGGTAGAAGAGGTGCTCAATAATGGCCGGCAAGATGTCAAGATTTATCGCCACTTGATTTTTTCATATCAAGATCATATTTAATAAAACTCAAAGGTTATTAAGGGTGGATACTTTTTGATTGAAAGCCGTGTATATTTTAGATCGTAAATCATGATGTGAAATAGCAAACCTTCGGGTGCCAGATGTGGAAAATTCCGGGGTCCGTGGCGCGAATTACTTTCATCCCGCTCCGGACGTACTTCCGGTACAGCATCACGTCCTCGCCGCCCCAGCCCACTATGTCTTCATCGAAACCGCGTATTTTCAAGAAGTCAGATCTGAAAAACAAATGATAAACGTTTAATAACAAGATCCATTTCTGGCATGATTTAAGACCTTCAATGAAGGCCCTTCATACCAAATTCTTTAATGACATTAGGAAAAGTACAGTGTTCAACTCATGAAAATGGACATCTTTCTCAATCGTTGAACTATATTGGTATTACCTATCAATGGGGTAGTTAAATTTTTTCTGACCTATACTTTTTATGGTTTTATTCAAGGCGTTTTGTAATTTTAAACATTTATGTGAAATCGGAATTTCAATTGAGTTTACCGTTTTCGAGATATTTACAAAAAAAAAACTCCTAATTACGTCACTAGGCTATTGACAACGTTGCCAGCTTTTTCTATGGTTGCCAGTGTGTTTAGTTTAAGATTCTTACGATAGATGGCGCCACGTTATAATATTTTAGTTTTAAAACCACTTGATCTATAATTTTATTTAAGAAGAAGAATTGAATTTTTGACGTTTCTTTTTTTCGGGTTATGTTTTTTTTTAATTTAGATTATTGAAAATCAATGTTATTGTTATGTTATTTGTAATTGATATTATTGATAACGGACTCCAAAGCAGAGGAATCTTGTGGAATGGTTGGTTACATTGAACATTGGAGCTTTTAAACAAATAAAGTAAGTACCTATAATTATAATCATATTTTGTTGTAAATGCATTTTATTAGTATAATGCCTATTTCTTTATATTCTTTTAGATATATCTTGGACTCTAAAATATCAAACAGTAATATGATACCTCGTAATAAGGAAGATAGGTACTGAAGATAGGTAATGAATATGATAGGTAATGAATTTGGTGACCATCAGTTTGAATAATTTTAATCAAAATGTCTATTTGTAGACCCTGCACTATCTTTACCTACCATGTACGTTATTGCAGCAATATTTAAACCAGAATTGTCGAAAAGTAAAAAAAGTAAAAGATGAAAAGTACAAAAATGTACTCTAGAGCATAGTATCTTCGAACACTCCAAAAGTTTGTCATACATTTTTTTAATCTTACAAAAGGTTTTGATGCTCATCATCAGGGATGCAAGTTTTATAAAAACTATACACAAATATCATAAATACCATTGTTAACTTACATTTACTGTTATTTTTTGTAAATTTATTTCATTCATTTTCAGCTTTATTTTGCCACTTTTTGCTATGAAATATTTTAAACTCTGCTTTAGATAGTTATTAGGTACCTATTTATTACATTTTATTAGGTTTCACACGGTGTTTCAATGTGTAAACCTATCAATAAAACTTTTAATTTCAGAATTTTCTTTAACCTCTTCTTCTTTCACTCAACTGACAGTGACAGTATTTGTACATAACCTCTTCGGGTATTTTCTGACATAACCGAATGAAATCATTAACAAGACAACTTGACAACAGGGTAATTTTCAACCAATATAAATCTTAGAATGTTGGTCACATGGCGAGGTTTGTGACGTCATAAAAATTTATATTTTTTGTAAATATCTCGAAAACGGTAAACTCAATTGAAATTCTGATTTCACAGAAATGTTTAATATTACAAAACGCCTTGAATAAAACCATAAAAAGTATAGGTCAGGAAAAATTTAACTACCCCATTATCCAAAACTGCAAAAAGTGACATATTAATTTAAAATATGCTATGAAACACAATATAATATGCTTTTTATTACGTTACGACCACGGTTAAATTAAATTTTAATTATTCATTTAAAGAAAATTAAATAAAGGAAATATAATGTCTTATTTTATAACCGCTGCAGCATATTTAAAAATGTATTCTCTCTGAAGACTTAAATCTCATGAAACATTTACAGAATAACTTTAATAAACGGCTAAGGTTATAATAAAATGTAAAACCGCTTTAATAAAGCACAGTGTATTAAATATACAACTATTTTAAAGTAAAATGTACCACAATGCTCAGGAAGTATCTGTTTTACATTCGTAGTCCAATAGAAGGAAAAAGATATCGACTTAAAACTTAAAAGGCGTTTATAATCCATTTAAGTATATTTTTCTAAATTATTTTGAACAAAATGCCACTATTATTATGTGAGGATTTCAGACCCATAAATACAGTGTGTACATTTGAAAAGATTTTGGAATTATTTGTAACATTCATGTGAAACTGTTATTTTAAATATTTGTAATAACTGGTTTGATGTTTTGGATAGAGGAAAAGTAGTTATTGACGTATATTTGGAATTTCGTCGTGTTTTTGAAATAATAAATAAAGTGGTTTAGTTCATATCTTTCAAATAGAACTCAAAATTTAAAGTTTATTAAACATTTATGAACCAAAAATGTCTGTTAAAAATGGGTACCACAAGGTACAGTTTTAGGTTCATTTTTATTTTACAGACTGTATATATAGAATCAAGTAAGTAAGGCTGGAGACAAGGATGACAAATTATATTCTGATCAAAGAAAAAGAAACAAACTTTAATTGGGCGTGGTTTAAACCAAGCCATTCGTAATTACGAACCATAGTTGCCAGGTTGTTTTTAATCAGAAGAGAACGATTAAAATAATTATTATTTAATAATAATTATTATTTAATAAATAAATCAATTTTATTTGTTTGAAACTTTAAAAATAACAAAAAAATTAATAATATGTCAAAAATTCTTTGATTTAGTTAATTTTCTTACTTTTAATATTAAAAAATAAGAAAAACAACCCTTTTAGGAAACATTAATAGCATATGGCAACAGCGCGTCATGCAGCCAGATACAAGGGCATGCAGTTTGATCTACTGTGTTCAGTAGTTCCGACGCTGTCGTAGGGAAATGTGTATAGTTTTTAAGAAATACATTTTCGCCATTAACTGGAATTTAATGGATTTTAAACAATACTTAGTTTTTATTTGCAGAAATGGATTAAAACAAAACAAACGAATTCGATAAAAATAAAACCTATAAATTCTCAAACAAAAATAATTCTAAAATAACGAAAATAATTCAATCCCTACCACAGTGGGCGGGGTTTGACACTTGTTTTATTTAAGTGTATATATTGGTTTTAATACACACTGTATATATTAACTACATGATTAATTATGTAAGTAAGTGCAATGTTTCAATGTTTGCTGACGACACACCGTGGGCCAGAAATTCCCTAAACTTTGAAAAAGTCAATTTTTAGTAATGATGGAGCACTAAGTTTTCTCAAGTAGGCCATTAAGCTCACAAATATACCAAAAATATGCCTGTGAGTTTTTATGTTGACACACGCGGGTTTGACAAATGTCGGTAAATTTAATACTTATTGAATGGTTTATTTTGTTTAAACAAATCGCTTTAAGTTTAAGACATTACAGTTAGAGGTGAATTAACTTTTTGACATACACTATGAGTGGGCCAGATGCAGGTAAGTTCAAGGATTTATACCATATAAATTTTATAGATATTTATGCGAAGTTTCGAAAAAAAATAATAATTAGTGAACGCATGTAAAAGCAAAAATTAAAATATTACTTGGATATTTCACCAGAGATATTTTAAGATCTACACTGAACTACACGTTTTTGTTGATGCTCTTAAACTCTCCAGTACTCAAGCTTTATTATCGAAAGAAAAACTTATGCCGAATTTTGTCTATCCAGTAAAAAACCTCGAAGAAAACGTAAGATTTTCTGTGTGGTTTTAAAATTTGATTCAAATTAAAGCTCTATTCGGTTATTAGTTGAAGGGTTAGGCCTAGATTGTAAAAAAGTTTTTGAATATGTGATCTATCATTTTTAAAGTTTTGACGTATTTTCGAAATGTCATTTTTAAAGGCAATTTTAGTGGTTTTAATGGATTTTTAAAATTGTGTTCAATAGTTTGAGCTGTGGTGCCTATAAATTGGCAGAGTAATTTTATAATACCCTGAGAACAAGAAACATTTATTATTAAAAAACAAAATAGCTATTAAACTTTGTATTTGAATTTTTACATTTTTCTGAAAATAAATTTAGGGAAAAGTGCAAAATTAAATTATTAAGAGACAATTTATAGCTTATAAAATATTTTTATAAACTACAGGAAATGTTATTGTTTATTTCTACTCTTTCCAATTGTGTATGAAATTTATGTAAATTATTGTACACAATAAACACATATTATTATTATAGAAGAATATTTTATTGGAAATAAAAAATATATTTATTAATTTTGCCCAGAGGCACTGAAGATAGTTGTGCTTCGATAGTGATTCCGACAAAGAAAGTTGGGCAACTATAAGCTATATTATTTTCTGTTATTGCAGTTCTATAGTTGTTATTGAAGACTTTAATTTAAATAATTTTTCCGCAAAACTAAAATTTTCAATCTTATACCTTCGGCTTTGTTTCGATTAGGTACCTGTATATTTTTTGAGGCCATAAGATGTCTATATCTATATTATTTTTCAACACTGTTAAAAAAGAAATAATATATAGACTATATACTATATAGGCTATTAAAGTTCTATTTGTGACATTATTTCCATTTTGACATCCTATATCTTCTATTACAAAACACAAGATCTTTAATAAGTTTTACAATTTCGCGCTTGTGGGTAAAGTTTGCAAAATAGCTAAATATCGTTTAATTAAAATACTCTGGTCCCACAATCTTTCCTTGTCTGGGTAGCTGTTTATAAGTGAAATCAATTTATATTTCTTTGTTTTTGATAATAACACTATGAAATTTGATACATTGGTTGACTTTGATATTTTTCAATGTTTTATAAAATCCTGGCCCACAGTGCGATACTATTTTATGGAAATAATATTAATGAAATGATAGATATTTTAAATGATGATCAATTTATCTACTTTTGTGTGAAGTCTTAATACAAAAAATAAAATAAAAAAATGTTGATACCTATTCAAATAAATTTAGTCTGGAAAGAGTAAAAGAAATAAAATATTTAGGTGTTATTTTCTCTAATCACTGTAATTATATTATGTCTAAAATGTCCAAAAAAGTGTACGTTTTAGATAGAGTAGGAAAACAATTAAGTTTATATATAAACATTGTATTATTTAAGCCTTTATTTTCACCTCACATTGAATTTTGTTTAACTGTCATTTTTAATTTTAATCATATATTATATCACGAGAACTATGAATTTAATCGGTTAAACTAGGCTCAGTAGTTTTTTTTTGGTTTTTCTTGGAAAATGTTGAATGAAAAATAATTTAATAAAATCACGAGACCGCGTAGCGGTCGAGGGGTTTTATTTTTAATTATTTTGCATGAAACTATTTTCCAAAAAGAAAAATTAAATGAAAAACTTACTGAGCATAGTTTGGCAGATTAAATTTATAGGTTTAGTGATATACGTCTAGATTATTTCTCGAATTAAAGGAACCTATTTGACAATTCACAAAATCTGACGTATGTGTCAAAATTTATAAATATTTTTTTAAAGAAAATTCCATTAATTTAAGGTATGTAATAAGTAATAATTGATATTTCGTAAACTAGATAACTTATTTTTTATTGTTTTTAAAAAAATGTTTGTTAAAACTAATAACAAAAAACTAATAACACCATAAAATCGTAAACAAAAATCCAATATGGAGGCTAAAATTTAATCGCTGTTAAATAGTTCTAGTGATTTAATCGCTTATTTAAACGAAATTTATTTGAAAATTCAAGGCTTTTGATTGGTTCATATTATAATGAGGGAAATAATCAAAATAAAGTGTCAAGGCAAAAATCTTTAAATATGCTTAAAGCTTTATTAAAAATGTCATGCATTTTTTCAAAATCTCAAGCACAATATATTTTCTTTACGATTTTAACGATATCAAAAACCTTTTTTTGGTCGAAAAAAAAACAAAATTCAGTAAATTAATTTACCTGTATTGACATGTCATGCCATAACCGAAATCCCTCCAGGACCCTGTATCTCTTGAAATCACCAATTGATCGTTCTCAGGGGGTACCTCTTTCCCCTGCAAAGTGTACACCACGTGGGGGTTGTACAAACTGAACACAACGGGGTAGTACACTTTCTTACCGGGTTTAGTGTTCCAGCGACATCTGTCCAGAAAACGCGCACTAAACACCACGTCAACGTCGCACATGAAGAGCAGAACGTCTTTCTTATTCGTCCCGTCGGAATCCCAGACTCGTTCTGCACCGACGCGCAGTCCCTTGGCGCGCGAGAAGGTTTCGTTCAGAGCTAGAAGGCGCAGATTGTTCGCGTTGCCGCCGCTGTTTTTCGTCATCAGTACCCTGGACATTATGGATCTCGCTTCTGATAGACCCTCCTCGCCAAAATACACGACAGTTAGATGAACCTTTTTGTCGTTCTTCAGCCCGATTTTGACGAACTTATCCATGAAGCTCTGGAATGTTGCCGTTCTTCCTGATAGCGGAAGAATAATCTGTATTAACTCCTTATCCTTTGGTCCTATTAAAGCTTCCGTCTTGATACTCTGTATGGGTGCGAACGGCCTCATCAACACAATCTTCGTATAACCACCACTAACACTACTTTTATTTACAACTTTAGTCCTGAAGAACAACTCGTACTGAGTCCCAGTGGTGGGTTCCGTTCTATACAACCCCTCCAAGAAATCATCCAAAGTGTACTTATTTATCTTCTCCGTAACATTCTTATTCAACGACTCCAATGCTTTCATTAACGCCTCCATCAAATCTTTTCTCTTGAAGCCGATGGGCTTCTCCACAACCCTTTTTCCCAAGCCCAAATCGATAGGGTACACTCTGTTGTAAGTGAAATGGTTGAATGGTATTAGCTCGTACTCGTTGTTAAGTGGGGTCCCATGGAATATTTCTGCTGAGAATATTTGTTTCTTGATGTAGTTTGAACACTCTGCGTTGGTGATGATTGGAGCTGGGTTGGAGTAAGATGAGTTTGTTGTTATGCTGACTGAGAATGAGTTGGAATCGTGGTGTGAGGAATGTTGCAAGCCATTATTATCTGCAAGAAAGATAGAAAATAGTTAGTCAAAGTTAATTATGTTAAAACACATTTTAAAATATATTTTATCCAACATATGACAATTATGACTGTTATTATTAATGTAATTTTACCAGTAAACTATCAAATAACACACTAGTGTGTTATAATCCATAACTCACCAGTGAACTCACGTTCATATTAAAAGTAATATTCTATTTATTTATTAGGAAAAGATTCTTGAAGTAAATCAACGTAAATTAAGGAAATACTTTACTGTTTTAAAGAATTTATTCTCTTCGTTATATATGTGACAAAGGTTGTTTTAAATCAAATAAATTTATTTGATTCAAGAATATTTTTTTTTCAGTGTACTTATACGTTTATAAACATATCAAACTTAAATCTTTTTACTAATTGGTGAGCCAAACGCTGCTTTGCTCCTGTTGCCAATTTAATTTCCACAATATATTTTCTGGGAAACAATTAGATTTTCGGTGGGTCTTGTGTGTGTGTGAGCTCGTGTATAATTGCCATAATGAATGCGAATCAGATCGGTTTAATTAAACAATAATTTAGTAGCTGCATGCAATTATTGCACACGGTCTTCTCTTCGCGGCTTTCACATAAATCCGTCAACTTAAACTTGTACGGCCTTTAATTAGAGCGAAACTCAACTCTCCAAAGCATTTCCGTATCCTGTATTTCATTTGCTGCTCTTTAGAAATAAGTACATCATGGTATCGGGCAAATGTGCGCACTACCTAACACCAAATTTTGACAGTGTTGAAGTAAGGTTTGAAGTTTCAGACACATAAGAGTCATTCCATGTAATTTCACCTAATGAGTCAACATGGCCCCGCCTAATTTCTTAGGGTGTTTAAATAAAAAAAATATTATTGTGATTTTAGTTCATCCCAAGCATTGATCTTCAAATCCTAAAACTTTTAGTTTAATCTGAGATGTCGAGCTTTTATCATTAGGTGAAATTACATGGAATGACTCTCATGTGTCTGAAACTTCAAACCTTCAACTTCAACTTCAACACTGTCAAAATTTGGTGTTGTTGACCGGTTTGCATAAAATATTACCAAATCGGTTTACAAGAAATCCTTTTGAAACTTTTTTATTTATTAATATTTATTATCGCTTAATATTTTGTTTTAACCATAAAACAATGTACTTTTAATATATATACCTAAAATTATACAAATATTTTTACGTGCAGTTTTTTTAGTGCTAAAATCACGCTTATTTTAACAGAAAAGTGATTTTTCTACCATTGATACCATTGATATTATGTAGTAGGCTTTTTTAATAAAAATGGTATTTCCTGAAATTTGGGTACTTTTTTATAATTTGGCATTTTATATTTTAATCAATATTTATAATTACTTTTAATAAAAATAGTTAGTTAAAAGAAGCGTAAATTTAGCACTTAAAAAACTGCATTTGTAAAAACATTTGTATAATTTTAGGCATATATTTAAAAATCACATTGTTTTATGGTTAAAACAAAATTTTACCCGATACAAAATATTAATAAACAACTTAGCTATAAAGGGTTTTCTTAGACACCGATTTGGTAATTTTTTATGCAAACCGGTCAACATGGCCCTGCCTAATTCCTAAGGGTGTTTAAATAAAAAAATATAATATAAATAATTATTCTGGATTTTGTTCATCCTAAGTATTGGCCTTCACACCCTAAAAGTTTTAAGAAAATCCAATAAGGTCAGCTTTCAATTTTTGTCAAATTTGATGAAAAATGATAGAATGACTCATAAGGTATCTGCTAAATTGTCTAGAATCGCAATAGGGCGTTCCAGACAGAATTTTTAAGTTCAAACCAAAATAATACGAGTTTATTGGGACCTATTTGCCTCGACATCAGCAATTTTAACCAAGTATAGAAGGAATCAAGGAATGTCAAAGGGGCAGTATCAACTTAAAAATTTCAAATGGAAAAATGGGCTTGTTAAAGAAAAATTGTTAAAATCGCTATTGTCAAGGCGCGGTAGAGGCGCTTTTTGCCTCAGGTATAAGCAACATTTGTTACTATAAGGGTGAATATATTGAGATGCCCCCCAAGTGAAAATGATTATTTTTTATTTTTTGTTGTTTTACTGTTAGTCTAGAATGGGGTTTTTAGGAAGCCATAACATAACATAAGTGGCTCTGCACTAATGCAAGAGTTTAAAGAAATTATACATTTTGAATATTAGAGCTTCACGGAAGATAGCTTCACGGAGGTTAGGATTTCGTATATTTTTTTTAAACATCCTTTGTATATTTAAAATAAGTTATTGTATCTTTTGACACCTTAATATTTTTTTAAAACGCAATTGTACATATATAAAATATTTATTAAAAAAATCTATTTACTGAGATATAACACTTCACGGTGGATAGGTTTTTAATTAGCAAATTAATGAACTTAAACTTTTGAATTATAAAACAGCAACAATCTCATCTGCATATAAATTCTAACTGACCTTCAGGAATCACATGCATCTATAATTTCGTAAACAGAGGTTTTTGCTTATTTAAAATGATTAAAGCGCCTTCCGTAGCATTAAATTTAAAGCAAAAACAGATTCACGGAGGATATAATGAATTTTTGTAACACCTTCATAAAGGGTTATTAATATTATTTCTTTTAATTTTTAATATTTTTTTATATTTGATTCGATTGCTTTGAATGTGTTTAATTTACTGAGTGAACTGATATTTTTAGTATGCTTTTACTACCTCATATATTTGACATTTAACCTAGAAAGAGTAACAGTCACAGAGGATAGGTTTTAGACTTTTAAAACATTGTAAAAAGTAATTAGTTGCGGTTTAAAATCTGGAACCTGAGCTGTAATATCTACTTAATTATGAAAGATCAAAACACAATAAAACTGTAGGTCAAACTCATTTCGTGAGATTCACCCATTAGCAATATTTCTGAATAAAATTGCTACTGTAGTAATATAACTTTTTTTTAGTAAGTAAAGTCTAGAAAATGAATAGGTACTTTAAAGAAATAATATTTTATAGGTTTTGTTTATTTGTTTTGTTCATGACAGCACAGAAATCTTCGTTCAGTGTAGGCACTCTTAGACCTTCCTACTCTATGTGCATATGCAATTTAACTTAAAACGTATGAACATCCATCATGGTAAAATGTAATGGAAGAACCAAAGAGAGTTCCGATAAAATTTCATATCACGCTGCAGAAAAGATTCTTGAGATGATTTATATCGAGCAATCATTGAGAAATTCGGACGGCTAGATTTATGTTTGAGTATTTATTAATTTTAGTGGTCCGCCACTAGAGACATAAATATCCAACAAACTTATAACTATTGCATCCATGGCAAGTACTAAGACATTAATAGCTATTAATTATCAGCAGTGAGACTAAAATTTGTATAACTACAACATATTATGTTATATTATAACATATAACCCGATTTTAACTACGATTTGTGCTAAGAATCGTTTTTTGCAGATTATTGAAAATAATTGTAAAACATAAAAAGTTAATTTAACCATTTAAGAGCTGCCATGACATCTGAAGATTGTATTTATGTATTTTCTTAATATGGCTTGAATTTCAAGCCTTGAAAAAAGATAGTAAGTGCACTTAAAAACAATTAAATAGCAGTAGTTTTTTTAGAGGTACTTTTCTTTTGTATACACAGATTATCTGTAACAGATAGGTATATAAATAAAAAATAATTTAGGTTAATACTTTTGTTTGTTTTGTAGCTCGTATTTGTTCCATTTACTTCGAAGATAGTTGCTATAAGAAGGAAAATTGGATCTAAAAAACGTACAAACTACATTCCCATAAAAAAGTCTTTAAAAGTGGATACGGTTCCAACTTTACATTTGACAGCTGCTCTATCAAAAGAGAAATCAAGTATTTTGTAAGAAATTAAAAAAAATTGGAAAAAACAATATAAATTATAGTTCTTTTTACAGTGTACAAGAAATACAAGAAATAGGACAAAATTAGAAAGCATATGATGATCTTTGAAGAAAGCCTGTAACCGAAACTCAAACGCTAAGAAATCAATTAAATGTATATGTACTGCAGTGTAAAAAATAAAATAAAATTTATAAATCAAAATAAATCAAAATTAAATCTTTCTTTTTGCATTGTGCAGGAAATGTGCCAAGACGAGGACAGTAATCATCTTCAATTCATTCCACAACAGAAACTCAAACTGTTGCTGTTAATGAACCAGATAGCACAGAGACATCAAAGCAAAGATATCTTAAAAATGTCGGACTCGTTTATATTGTCTTAATACTTAATTTTTAAAAAACATGTTTGTTTATAATTTTTTATTACAAATGGATATTATTAATTGTAGGAAAAATAACCAATCCACAAGAATGTCAGATATATATTTATTCAGTTACCCTACCCATCATCGTTATCAAAACTTAAAATCCTACAGTAATGTTGTTTCTACTACACCAAAATAAGATGGTACCTAATTATATCTTACTATGAAATGGCTGATTATGGGATATAATTTTGATTTTGACTTGTCAAAATTCACTAATTTATCAAAAAATTTAAAACAAAATAAACGGCGGTATCAGGTATTTATAAGATGTCTTTAGAACATTAAATGAAGATATCTTTAAGACTTCTATCAAAAGACGTCTTTCAGACGTCTTTTTTGGATCTTTAGACTTTCAGGCATAATACAGACATACAAAAGACCTTTTCAAGACGTTGTGTGCTATTTAGAGGATTGAAACATTTGCTCAAGTTTAGTTTTATTCAATGTAGGCTCCATATTTGTCAATTTAAGGTTTTTATTTGTCAACTAAACCTAACTTTTTGACATTGTCAAAGTTAAAATAAAAAAAAATAGGTACCTATACTACCTACTAAATTGCAATTATTTGTTAATACGATTTTATAATATTTTTTTTTAGAATAATATGTTTTTTTACATTTTTCTAGCAATGTTAAAGTTGTAACTTAATACTTTTTATTTCTTTCTTTATATTTGCTTTAAAACAGGATATTTTATTTTATTTAAAACATTTAACGTAAAAATT